TGGATGCAAGGGGACCGCGACAACCTGCAAGCAACTGTTCATTGCGTCGAGAACCTTCAAGCCAAGGATAGATCAGTACTACTCAGACCTTATTGTCAGAAGTGCCATGGATATCAGAGCCTTGGATTGTATGCCAGTTTGTTTTCGGTTATTCAATTTGCATGTGTCCCGTGGGACCTGTTTGTCAGATGAATTTGCTCGCCTGATTGGTTTCCTAGGTGTGGTCATCGTCTCGGGAACGCTTTTCTTCGGAGTTGCAGACAACTGGCTACGAGGAAGGAAAGCCTTCTCCATGTTTGACGGTGCGCTGGCAGCATTTGCGGCACGTTGCAGCGTGGTTTGTCCACCAAAACGGCAGCTGTCTCGTTTGCATTCGTCATGGCCCGAATCCGCAAGAGGTTAATTTGCAATGCGTCTTGGAGTCACCAACGACTCTTACATTTAAAGATATATTATATGGTCCATTCATGTTCTATCCTTTACTCCATTCCATGTGGCACAGAGTGCACTGACGCAGCTTATGTTTTGCGAGCGGCTTTGTGTGTGGCAACGCAAGGCCTATACTTTGCGGTTGCTGGAGCATCCTCAGTTGGCATGCAGGAATCTCAGTCATCAGCAGTCAGGGCATGCGGCTTGACCATTTGTTTGGTGCTATTTGTTTTTTGGCTGAAGCGTGCCGAAGCTCTATACGGCAATAGAATGGGACTCTATACGGCAATAGAATGGGACTTTATACGGCAATAGAATGGGACTCCAAACGGCAATAGAATGGGATTCTGTACGGCAATAGAATGGGACTCTATACGGCAATAGAATGGGACTCTATACGGCAATAGAATGGGACTCTATACGGCAATAGAATGGGACTCTATACGGCAATAGAGTGGGACTCTATACGGCAATAGAATGGGACTCTATACGGCAATAGAATGGGACTCTATACGGCAATACAATGGGACTCTATACGGCAATAGAATGAGACTCTATACGGCAATTGAATGGGACTCTATACGGCAATGAGGTACTTTTTTACGGCACTCTATACGGCAATAGAATGGGACTCTATACGGCAATAGAATGGGACGGCAATAGAATGGGACTCCATACGGTACAACAATAGAGTGGGACTCCATACGGGAATAGAATTGGATTCTATACGGCAATATAATGGGACTCTATACGGAAATAGAATGGGACTCTATGTGGAAATAGAATGGGACTCTATACGGCAATAGAATGAAACTCTATACGGCAATAGAATGGGACTCTATACGGCAAGAGAAGGGGACTCTATACGGCAATAGAATGGGACTCTATACGGCAATAGAATGGGACTATATACGGAAATAGAATAGGACTCTATACGGAAATAGAGTGGGACTCTATACGGCAATAGAATGGGACTCTATACGGCAATAGAATGGGACTCTATACGGCAATAGAATGGGACTCTATACGGCAGAATGGGACTCTATGCGGATAGAATGGGACTGTATACGACAATAGAATGGGACTTTATACGGCAATAGAATGGGACTCTATACGGCAATAGAATTGGATTCTATACGGCAATAGAATGGGACTCTATACGGCAATAGAATGGGACTCTATACGGAAATAGAATGGGACTCTATACGGAAATAGAATGGGACTCCATACGGCAATAGAATGGGACTCTACACGGCAATAGAAGGGGACTCTATACGGCAATAGAATGGGACTTTATACGGCAATAGAATGGAACTCCAAACGTGGATTCTATACGCCAATAGAATGGAATTCTATACGGCGAGAGAATGGGACTCTATACGGCAATAGAATGGGACTCCATACGGCAACAGAATGGGACTCTATACGGCAATAGAGTGGGACTTTATTCGGCAATAGAGCGGGACTTGATACGGCAATAGAATGGGACTCTATACGGCAATAGAATGGGACTCTATGTGGAAATAGAATGGGACTCTAATTTTACGGCAATACAATGGGACTCTATACGGCAATAGGATGGGACTCTATGCGGATGGAATGGGACTGTGTACGACAATAGAATGGGACTCTATACGGCAATAGAATGGGACTCTATACGGCAATAGAATGGGACTCTATATGGAAATAGAATGGGACTCTATACGGAAATAGAATGGGACTCCATACGGCAATAGAATGGGACTCTATACGGCAATAAAATGGGACTCTATAGAATGGGACTCTATACGGCAATAGAATACGGCAATAGAATGGGACTCCATACGGCAATAGAATGGGACTCTATACGGCAATATAATGGGACTCTTTACGGCAATAGAATGGGACTCTATACGGAAATAGAATGGGACTCTATACGGAAATAGAGTGGGACTCTATACGGCAACACAATGGGACTCGATACGGAAATAGAGTGGGACTCTGTACGGAAATAGAATGGGACTCTATACGGAAATAGAATGGGACTCTATACGGCAATAGAATGGGACTCTATACAGAACTAGAATGGGACTCTAGACGGAAATAGAATGGGACTCTATACGGAAATAGAATGGGACTCTATACGATTCTATTCCTTATCGTGACTTTGGCCCCCCTCTTGTCGTGGTTTTGGCCGCCCCCTTATCGTGTTTTTTTGTTCTTTTTCTTGTCGTGTTTTTATTATCATTCTTATCGTGGTTACGGACCCCCCTCATTCTTGTCGTTGATGCACGCAGGTTTGGGAACGTCATCGCAGTTACTCCCATGGAGAAGGCCTGCTTGAGTTGAATTTGCACGGAGTCCGATTTGTTGTCGATTTTTTGGTTCCTAGTTCCTACTGTGCATGCTGACTTGGGTGTTGCAAATTAAGGACCCCTCCAGGTGGTTGGTTTCCTTTTGACCTTTAGGACTATTCAACGCAACTACGTTCCCCATTTTGAGACAGGCCGTGACAGGCCCATGCGCTTGTGTGTGCGTTTGCCATGATTTAATCCTTGAGCTTCGCGGCCTCATGCGCCCTTTCAAAAGGCGCTTTCAATCGCATGGTGTCCCAAAATCGGGGGGGAGGGTCTCCTCTTTGTCTTTGAGGGAAAGCAAACGAAATCCAGCTTCTTTTGGGGCTCTCTCACTATGAAGTGCCTGGAGTGCAGCGCTTCTGTGTGGATGTCCAGCAGTGGAGGTGGCCTGCATGGCGCTCTTTTGCTACGGATGCTACAGCTCCTCGTTTAAAGACATGCAGGCAATACGCATGGTAGTTGCATGTGTACTGTTCTGGGCTTGTAGTTGTATAGAATCGACGAGCTTGTGTGGCTTTTGATTTGTTGTGTAACTACATGACTCAATATTTCTCATAACGATGCCGATGCACTTTAGGTAGCGAGGACACATCGACAGATCTGCATGGGCTTGTCTACAGCCAAGGCTTCAACCGGTTCATGATGTTCGCCTCTGAGGCTCAATTTGCCGGGTTTGAATTCGTGAATGCATTGCAGTCGATTAGACCTTCCCTGCAGGTGTTTGCGTATAAGGCGGGCATTGGACATCACAACTTGGCGCCATTGTTGGATGTGCTGTGTTTGTCCATGTTTGCTTCACAACAGACATTCCGCCCTGGCAGATCGAAAACTCGCAGGGCATTCTGGCAGTGCTCCCGCCAGGACGCGCAACTTGTGTCGTGCATTCACAGGCAGCAAGGGGTTTATAGCCGAGATGCCCAAAAACATTTGTTTGACAGTGATGTGTCGCACCCGGCTTTATGCGTTGAACCTTTGTCAAGCTTGATCACTTGCTAGAACCAAGCCTCTAGGAACTTGGAGTGCTTCTCAGAACTTGGTGGTAGTGGAACGCGGTGTTCGCTGTATCTTGTGGAACTGCAGGATTTGCAGGGAAGCTTCAGCGGCTGCAGAAAGCTTCGCCGGAGGTGCTTGGGGGTAGTGGTGTTTGGCTATGTGAAGGCGAGCCAAGAGTGCGCCTCAAAGTCACGGGCCCTCTCAGCATCACAGGCAAAGCAGCCTCAATCAATCAGGACCTTTGGACGGCATCTCAAGACTTTGCATGCCGAAAAACCCAACATGGGAGGCCTGTGCCTTGGGATCACAGGATATGACGAAGCCAGTCTTGCCATGCAAGCAGAAGGAAGCCACGTCTGCCCAGAATATTACTCCGATCTGGGTTGCGTCGTGCAGCTGGAGCATCTCAAACGAGTCTTGAATTGTGACTGCCTTTTGGAAGGCCAGAGATACCTCTGCTCGAGCCGTAAGTTCCAGGCGCCAAGAGGAGCCTGCGAGGGATGCTTTTTTTCTTCTTCTAACAAGACATCCGCAAAGCGCTAGGAGGACCCTGGCTTTGCGCCTCGCAGCAGCGGATCCCGACCCAGCCTTGCACCCCCGCTGCCGCAAACGCCGGCCCCGGCTGCAGCGCCGGCAGCAGCGCCGGCAGCGCCCGCGGTGGCAGCGCCCGCGGTGGCACCAGCGGCGCCGCCCGTTGTACTGCCCGCGGCGCAGCCGACGCCGATGCAAGGCGAATCTGCGGTAGCGGACGCTTGGTCAGCAGTAGGCCATGGAAGAGCCGGGATGCTCCACGTTTGATTTGTCCTGGCATTTGTGATTTGTGCGACCTAGGATCAGCAAGAGGCGGCTGCTTGGTCTGTAAGCTTCACCGGCCACCTGTTATGAACAACTTCAGGTTGCAAGGTAAACATCGGAGGCACTTGGTTTTTGGGTGCTTGAATGACAGCCTGCAATCGCCAGCAAAGGTCGACTTGTGAGTGTGGCTTCAGCTTGTACATAGCATGGGGTGCCATCCCCGAATGTCCAATGTGGCAGCTGCCAAATGGTTTGGTGCCAAACGCACAACCAGTAGTGGAGTGAAATCGGTCGCAACACATGCTCTGCTAATCTTTGGGAAGACTGGAATCAGTCCTGAGATGTCCCTAGAAATCCCATCTTCTCCCAACTATCAAAAGCTCTAATACTTCTCGCGGAATCTGTGAGAATCCACTCTTTACAAGCGGAGCACGTGGGATTCGCCAGGTGCTTGGCATGGAGGGCTGCCCTGCAGCCTTCCAGACCCGAGGCTTTTGCGAGGCGCTGGCTGAGGCACGCCAAAGGGGAAGGAACCAGCCACAAAAGATACGCTGGTTTTGTGTGGATGTTGAACTGTAGATTCGTTTGTATCAGAGTTATGGCCTTCCTTGACCAAACACGAACCCACGGCATATATGATGATATATATATATATACACACGTCAGGCAAAAGCTGCCTGGATTTTGGGGTTCCATTGGCCCACACAGTCGAGGACGGCTCCATGATCCTGGCACTCTTTGGACAGCTCCTGAACCCGCAAGGGTACAAGGCAGGGCAGGTGTTCGCACCTAGTCGCGCAAGTTTCTCTTCAGGAAGTGGAGCGGCCAGACCTTGGTCCGCACTACGAGGCTCGTCATGCCGAGGCTTCCATTGTTGAAACAGTCGTGTCAAGAACCAACCGCATTGTGACATGGCCCTAGCTGCTGGCCATTTTCTGAAAAGAAAGATCCCCTAGAGTCAGAATCGGGAAGCAGCTTAAGTTCTACGACTCGTGCCAAGCACGGCCAAGAACGTCTTTTGAGTCGAAATTAAAACCCGGTATGTGAAGCTCGTGTAATCGAGTAGCAGCTCTAGCGGAAGCTTAGATAGCTCTTTTGGTGGGGATCAAACTCTAGAGGGAGAGTGAGGCTAAGAAAGCAGGCCGCTTGGAACGGGTGCAACTCTTTTGTGCCAAACAGTTAAACTCTTTCGAGCCACGTGGTGAAACGCGAGCCAAGCAAGCACCGTGAAAGCACCGCAAGCACCGAGGTCCAGGTGCGCCTGCCGCAGCGGTTCATTCTGCGCACGCTCAAGGAGCAGAAGCTGCCAGAGGGTCCGCCGTGCCCGGGCCGGGTGACAGACAGAGGGCCTCGCAGCTATAGCCGCCCTAAAGAAAACCTATTCATGCAGAGACCAAGAGGAAACCAACCACAGAGGCTAATTGCGCAGGTCTAAGTCACATCTTGAGAAACACCAGGCTGGGAAGAGCTCCGCGCCAGCCTTCTGCCACCAGAGCTTGCAGGTGGGAGACAAAGAAATTGACGAGGTTGGCCAAAACTGATGTGCTGACGAGGTGGGAGTGAGCCCAAAAAGGCCAGGTGAGACACCGACTGAGCCCCGAAGCGGTCGCTTCCTGGAACCCGAAACCACGTTCAAGAGTGCGTGCCTTGCCAAGGCACTTGGAGTTTCTAAGCTATCATCCAAACGGTTTCTTGAGAAAGCAATACTTGCAAGCACGTGTTTCAAGTCCCAAGAGAAGCTGTACATATAATATGGCCGGGCTGAATGGCAAGTGCTTGAGAACTTGATAGAAGCTGCAGTGGGAAGCATGCGATTGACGAGCAGTTGCCAGCTCAGCATTATCAGCGTTCAACCGTCAGGGTCCCTGAGCTTGCCAATGCTCGGACAGAGGAGAAAGGGCGCGCTGTATCACTGTATTCAGCAGCCAATGGTGACAGTCTCAATGACGCAAGGAGGCCTTGATAGAATTGTTGAGGTACTTCATTTGTTTCAGTCGCCGGGTGACAATGACAGTATCACTGGGCTGAGTTTTGTTTGCGTTGTCAGGCCTTGGCTTGTAAAGTTGGCGTGGTAGATGCCGCCAACACCACAAAAACCAGAACCAAAACCTTTGCTAAGGCCGAGGCTATAGAGGAGTTCCAGCACCTGAACTTCAAGGCCCGCTAATGGATGCAACTCTGGCCTTTTTTGATTTGTGTCTTTGTTTGGTCGTGAGGTGGATTTTATGGAGGTGATCCGCATTTTGACGGAGGCCGCGGATCACTCTTCCCATGGGGATTTGGAGGCCATGTCGACCTCGCAGGTGTTCAAGAAGGAGAATGCCAAGAAGATTTGCTGGACCCTGGACCAGTCCTTTGAGGACCCATGTTCACAGGGCTCAAGGGTCCGGGGAAGATTTGTCAGGGCTTGGCCCTGATGGACTACCTGGAAACCGAGCTCACATTTGCGGAGTTTCAGCTGCTGTTGCGCAGACCTCAAGACTGGTGAGTGTGTTGAGTCTTTCAAAGGCTTCAAGATGACTTGTGTGCTGTCCCTCATGCATCCGTGTAAACAGGATGTTGGGAATCTGAGTGGTTGCGATTGCCCGAAAGCAAGCTTGTTGGAGGCTGCGACTGGCATGTTCCCCGGCTGAGAAGGCAGGCGCTGGGACCATCCCCAGGCACTAAACATGGGAGTGTTTGAGGGTACCCTTGGGGTTGATTCAAGGGAAACCACAAGGAAAACCGAAACGCATTTGGAGGGCTTCCCTAAGCAACGCCCAAATGGTGACATTCCGAAAAGGGGCCTTTCACACCCGTTTGGTCGGCCGGGCTGGGCTTTTGGGGGGATTTCTCGGCTTCACAAGTCGTCAATGCCTAGCTTGGGATGTGCCAGGCCTTGCATGCATCAAGCCTGACTCCACACGCTTGCATGGAAGCCTTCCTCACGCAGGCCAGGATGCGTCGGATGATATATACTTGAAGTGAGATGGCGTGGGAACGTCAGGTGTTCTTGCCGCCCTTGCAGTCGCAGTGCGCTGGGTTTGCGATGCAAAGCATTTTGCTCAGTGGCAATTCCTGCGAGCAAGCCTCCCATAGCCACCTTTCCGATGCTTGGGGTCAATTTAATGGCTGCAGATGCATGTTGGCCGGTGGCATGATTTGAATCCCAAATAAAACAAGGGGCTTTGTCTCCAAACCGGTGAATCGATAATTTTCCTCAGAAACCATCTCTAAAAGGGTGCGGCTCAAGACACAACGCACATCCAACTGATTTTGGCCGACTCGGTTGAAGACCTTCCGCCAGGTACCCGCAGGAGGTGGATGTGCCGCTGCCCACGCCACCGGTGCCAGATGTGAGGCCCGGGAGGGAGCGAAGATCAACGAAGTGCTGAACCCCTTGTTGGATTCCAGTCTTTCATCTTGGGCTTCCCCCGAAAAGAACAGAAAGAGGTGTCCTTGCTTTCCCACAACTCTGGGCAAGTAAAGTGCGGCTTGCGAGTGTGAGATCAAGCTAGGACCGAGGAGAAGGAGAACGAGGAGGGAGAGGAAGAAGGCGAAGAGAAGGAGAAGGCCGACGGCAACAAGCCGGAGGTGACCGGGTTGCAGACTGCTCGCGTTTTGCAGAAAGTGATTCAGCTGACAGATGTGCGGGCAACGTCTTGAGCCCGTAATCTAAACGGCATGGGCCAGGTTGAGCCAAAAACGTCAGCCTCAGCTTGTTGGGCGCAGGAGCTTGAGCAGCCTCCAGTTGCTGATCCTCCGAGTTTCTGGCCAGAAGCCCAGTTATGTCATGCGGCCTGCCTCAGCTCCGTAGAAATGCAGCAAATGGCTTGAGGGGAATGAGGCTCGGACAGTGAACCTGCCAAGTTTCAGGTTTGGCTTTTGTGATCCCGACAACTTGGACGCGGCCGCCAACGCCAATAACTGAGCATTGCACAGTACTCGTATAGGGTCTGGATGTCTTGATTCCTCCACGTTCCAAATCAATATTGATATTCCTTGCTTCCTGCAGCTTGGGCTAGAAGTCATAGAGATGAATGTCGGAATTCTTGAAGATCCTTAGAGACATGGGTAAAGGCTGAGTTTCATGAAGATTGCAGGTGCCGAGAGTTTGTTTGCTTCCTGAACAGGCTGCACCCCGCTTCTGGCCGCAAGGCTACGCAGCCGAGGCCAGTTCCTCGCTATCTTTGTATGCATGGGGACGGGACGGGGTCAAAAAGTATGGCTGCTTTTGGCAACCCTGTTTTTGTGTTGCCCAGCAGATAGGCATCCTAGCAGGGCTCCGTAATGTGGACAATCACTTGGTTTGCCGACAGGTGCTGGACTGGTGACATGTTGAGCACCTGCGGTGGGCTTCCAACCTTCATGCAAAGGAGACACATGTTTGTGTGGCATGATCTTTCAGACTGGTCAGTCCGCAGCAAAATGCGATGGGAAACTGTTTTGGCCTTGGAAGCCCGTCTAGTTCGATGCGGAGGCCACTGTGAAATCGTGGCACCACTGGAGATTGGAATGAAGACCGTTCCTACTCCATCCTGCAACAGACAGGAAGGCAGATTTGCCGGAGTTCATGTCATCCTCAAAGGCCGAACCCCATGAGTTCAGCAGGGGTCAAACCAGGCAGTCTGCAAGAAGCATGCATCTGTTGCAAGCCGCATAAGGCAAATCACGGCAAAGTTGTGAAGTGCCAGATGTGATTCGGAAAAGCGTGCAGCGTGGAGCTGCCTGGAAGTTGAAGGTGTCGTCCAGCACGTGAGCAGTCGACGCACTTTGGTTCGCCAAATCAAGTTTGCTCAAGGCCCAGAGAAAATCAGGCCAGTATTTTTTGCCAGGCTTGCTCGTGGCTTGGACATGGGCACACGTAAAAAGAAGCACTGCCACCGCTGTACTGGGCAACATGCACTGGAAAGGATGATTTATTGTTTGCCTTTTTGTCAGCATAGTGGTCTTGTTGGTTCTTTCTTGTCCTAAAGCTGCTTGGGCACTGCCCAATGCCCTACGATGCCGGAACACCCCAGGCCTCTGAAGGACAAGGCAAGATTATTGCAGATGGGGCAAGAGCATTGGTTCCAAGTCAGGTGCTAGAAGTGGTCTTTCCCGACGGCCACGGAGATGCCCGCCCCTTAGATTGCTGCTGCTTGTTGCCTTTCAATGGATTTGCAACTGTCAAGGTGCGTGTTGCATCAGTGGATTTGCGAGGAGGAGAGCTTGAGTCATGGCAGCCTTTGCTTCTGCTACTTGAAGACTCTCTCACTGCGCGGGAGGAGCGATAGTATTGCAGGAGGCGGGAATAGGTGACAACATGGAGGCTGGCTCCAGCCTAGCAGTTTGGTTTCACGCCATACATGCTGCTGTTGGCAGGTTCTGGCCCAAAATCCTGTCAGCTTTCGATTTGCGCCCGCCTCGGACTTCACACTGCTCGAGTCCAATCAGGCATAAAGTGAAAAACGCAAGCAATGTTTCCTCAGAGAACGCGCAGTCCTTGAGGAAGATGTGAGTGCAGCCGTTCCGAGCGGTTCTTCCGTGAAGATCATGGCTAAGAAGGAGTTGACCATCGTTTGACTGCAGAGAAGTGCTCGCATTTGCTGTGACAAAATTTCACACAGTGCCACCATCCTATTGCAGGATAATAAGGTCCTGGTGCAGATGAACTTTGCACCAGGCCAGATACCAAAGACAAGAGATGGGGCCAGGCGGCCCGCAGGGCTTTGTATTTGGCGTTCTTCCTGGTTCAGAAGGGCAGTCCAGTGACGATCACGTCCAGTTAAATGCTGACCGAGGCAAGGTGGCCGAGCCGAAGGCCTGGGCCGATGTCATCAACCAGGCGAGGTGAGGTGGCGTCGCTGGCGCCGTGCGTCGCATTTTCTTTTTTGAGGCGCTGCATCGTGGGCCTGGGCCCTGCGCCAGGCCCCAAGGCGTGAGGGGCCAGGCTTCGCGTTGGACTTGGCAAAGTGTCCGCGTTGCACAAATCGATCTGGAGAGTGGTGAAAAGCAAAGCTTCAAACGGAGACCGAAGAGCCACGCAAAGAGATACCGGGATAATATCCCAGATGCAAGAAAAACAAACGAGCTCAGGCTGGATCTGCAGCCAAAGGAGTCGGAGAAGGACCGAGCCGGCGTTCCTTGGGATATAAAAGGTTCCCCATGCAAGGTAGGACATTAAATGGTGCGAACATTTGTTTCCCCAAACATCCAAAAACTGGGAACCTGAGACCCATTCAAAGGAGCCGCTTTTTGGAGCAGTCCTTTGTTGGTACTTGCTGCTGTCCTTTTTGGGCATCGGAAAATGTGCAACATGGGCTGCAAATCGATGCATTCAGCATTGGTGCATGAGGCTGCATACCTGAGCGATCCTGAGCGCAGGCCGCAGCGAGTCTGACATGCTGAGAGCCTTGATCGCAAAGCGCGCAGACCAGGCACATTGTCGGGGGTGAGGTATCTTTGGGCATGTGTGCCATTGTCAGAAGATCTGGCTGGTGCAGATCGGCAGGGATGGTCATGAACACTGGAGTAGTTCTCGACTGCGATGTAGACAGAAAACCAGCGATTCGTTTTCAGTCTGGATGGCTGAAAAACCATGATACAGATGTCAATGCTTGGCCATGACACGCACTTTCGCAGATTTGATGAGGCCCGCGGCAAGGCGCTAAGTTTGGTCAGGTGAAGCTCCTGGAGACCTTGTCGGAGCGCAAGGACGAGCAGCTCATCCAGCTGCAAAATCACCTGGAGGCAGGATGTCTCCAATTTTGGGAAGATATGGAACCCTCAAATTGTGTTTCTTTCTTTTTACTGGATCCCCTGTGACGTGAACCTAAAAGGGATACCATCAATCTAAGATGCATCCAAGGGATGTTTAATATGCTTGCGCTGGATGTGAGTATCTTCGCGTTTCTTGCAAGCCTTGTGTTAACGGTGGAGGTGCGGATGTATGGCGTGTGAGTTTGCTTTGCGCTGGCAGGGGGTGCTTGAAAGACTGCAGCTGGGCATCAGCCTTAGGCAGCCCTTGAGTGTGAAGTGGCCTATGGACTCGACCTGCTTGAGGTCAAGACTTGTACACTGAGCAACAGCAGGCCTTGCGCCTTGCATGCGCTGCCTCAATGTATGGGCACCTCCGCCATGTGTCCCTTGGGGTTCTCTTTGCTCCAAGCCCTCCCTTCTCTTGGAGCAACAAGCAAGCGGAGTTGCCTTTGAGGTGATCCAGGCCCAGCAGGCCAAGGTGGAGGAGCTGCAGTCGACGCTGGAGGCGGCTGCAGCCGTGGAGGCAGCTGCAGCCCCAGCGTGCTGAGTCGCGTTTCGGATGTTCTCAGATGGCGCCCAAATTGGATTTTCCAACTTCGGGAGCTCGGTCCATATATTGGACAGCGTCATCATTTCACCGAGTAGATTTTAGCAGGTGCCAAAAATGGTAGCCAGTTTGGGAAAAAACGACTTACCTCGAACCTGCGCCTTTCAGGGGCTGAACTTGTCCGCGAGAATGACCAGACCTCGAACCGGTTGACCGCAACCTGGTTCTCCCCTCCCCCTCTCCCACAGTCAGCCGGTCAGCCAGCCAGCCGCCTTACCTCACTGGCCCAAACGGTTGACTGGCCTGGGAGCCCGGTCTGGTTAACTGGTCGACCGTGCGCCCGGTCGTCCGTTCGATCAACCGGAAAGACAGTCGGCGAAGGCCCCCACCACCCCACCAGCCTTGTGCAACCCTTAGAGCTTCTGACAGGAAAATGCGCCAGCGTACGCCACCGCCACTTTCAAATGCCTACATAGTGGTCATGAGCAGCTAGAAGCACTATGCCAACACGGCCACTATGTCGCGCGGCCCGATTCCTCGGGGTCTCGTGTCCAACTGAGGCCTGCGAGCGCAACGCGGCCCAGGCCGCCGCAGGCGCCCGGGCGGCCGCCAGGGCTGGGTCCCAAGGCCTGGTGCCAGGCCCGGGCAGATGTGGGCTTGTCCTGACAAGAGGGGCGGACTTGAAAGAGGCCCTATTTTGCGACCGCCTTCTTGGATTCTTGACAGGGAACAGGGCTGCTCTTCTCTTGGGGTCCCGGAGGCTGCTCATTTGCTTTGAGTGTTTGTGCTGGCTTGGATGCCAATCTATTCGGGCTGTCCTATTGTGGGAAACACCCAGGTGGAGCTCAAGTGCGATTGAGGTTGACAAGGATGCTGTCGATGGATAGTTTGACAATTCTTGTAACGGTTCGCACTCAGGGAGCCGCAACAAGATGTTGGCTCTCTTTGCTAATCCACCCGTGATCAGCCTTCCAGCGGGGCCCTCACTTTAGATTTTACAGCCATATAGAATGATGTTTGCTTGATGCAGACAGATACTCTTTGGGTGTTTCCAAAGGAAAACCCGAAGGAACCTAAACAGCCACCTGCTCTCGGTTAGCACATGCTTTGGCGCGAGACAGGCAACCTTCCGCCGAGACAAAGGAAGGACTGGGATGCTGAGAGCGTGAACGATGGAAACACCCCTCACAGTTTCGCAGCTTCCTGGCAGGAGCAGATGAAGCAACAGAGTGGTGTGAAGCAGAGCAAGGTGCTTTGCTGACTGGTGAGACCTGGCCTGTGGATTGCCAAGCCCTGCCAGGACTCGGAAGACGCTGATTCTCATAAGGTCCAAAGATTCATGGCAGATGCCAGCCTCATTGCACGCGGCATTTGCCAGATGGCAGGTGTCCAATCCCATGTCCAGAAGTGCACGAGGTTCGATCATCCCAGAGAGAGAGAAAGATTGGAAGTCATCCCCTGCTCCAGGTGAAAGATCCCATGGAAGCTGCTAACCTCAAGCCCAGCGGCCAGGCGGCATTCGAGTTTGAAGGTTCGGCGCTGTCAAAAATGGGGTGCGGTATTTTGTTATGTTGCTTTCCGGCAATCCCACAATGGCTGACAAGGCAAAAGGGACATGGACACCAACCACACGCCAGCATGAATATCAGCCCCGTCCCCTGTGGGTTGGCAATAGATACCGAGCGACATTCTAAAGAGATGACTTCAGCAGTGCTTGCTTTAGAATCCTTAGACAAGGTGGTAAGCGAGCTTTGCATTGCCCCATGCCTTGCAAAGCATGTGCGTTTGAGTTTTCCATGGTTTCATCCACGCGAGCGCACCCACAAAGGATGGAGCCGAAATGAATACACATGTACTGTAGTGAAGAAGTGTGTCCTGTCATGTTTGACCACAGCTTTGCAGTGAAATTAAAGTATGTGGATATCAGCACACGCCAAGAAGTTGTATATTCAACCCCAACAGGCCATAAGTTTGATCACTGGCTACCTTCAAAGTATCTACCCTGTTGCCAAGGCAGAATCAGCTCGGCGCCCAGGGCAGAATCGCAGAATCCGAAGGCCGGAAGTGGACGAGCAACAGAGGCGCCGGCGGTACGGTGATCGTTTCAGAGAATTGGAGTGCAACGAGCACCCATGGAGACAGGGACTGTCACGACATGTCACGACGGCTCATGGCAAATGTTTTGTGAAAGATCGGGGAATGGAGAAATGGCCGGAAGTGCCTTCCCCTACAGCCATGGGCGCACGGCCAAAAAGAAGTGCGGACTTGCATTCAAATGTTTTGAACCTTGCTGTGCAGATTGCTTGAGCTACGACCTTTGGTTTGAGAGTTGAGCCATAGAATACAGCAAGACCCCATGATGGCCAGAAAGGCAATGTAAGTCACGCAAGTCAAAGCTTCGCATCAACAAATAGCACAGTCACGAATTTCAATTGTTTGGACAGTCTTTGGACCCGGTGTGTCGCAGTTTCAATATGTTCACCCTGTGAAGTGCCTGTGAGCTTCTATTTTGAACCTTTGAGCGATGGCTGAAGCAGGTTGGATCCAAAGCGACATGTCCCCTCGCCATGACTCTCTGACAGGTCAAGACGCAGGAGGACTCGGCAAATTCTGCAAGGGGAACAAGTCACCCAATTGGCTGAGTTCAGACGGGCGTATGCCTGAGTATTTTGCCACGGTTTGACGCTGTGAGGCGACAACCCGTCTCCTGGAACAGGCCAGTCGGCGGGACAGATGCCTGTTTAAGTACTAGTGCGGTGTTGTGTTTCATGTTGGCTTCAGGTTCATATTTTGCGTGTTTATTGTTTACATTCCAATGTGGAACCAACTGTGCCGGAGGCGAGCAACAGGCACCTGAGCAAAGCGAGCATGGCGAGCGAAGCCGCGGCGAGCGGGGAGACCGCAGACCCAAGGCGAAGACATCCAGGGTTGGCGTTTTGAGCAGGTGCCTTGTGTGTTTGACGACTCCTGTTTTTAGGAGACACTCCTCTAAACGGCGGGTTGCCCCCCCGCCCCCACTTGAAGCATCTTCAAACCAGTGACAGGGTGGTGGCCGGAATCGAGGAGGCCAAGGTCCTATCGGCTCCACCTCCGGAGACCGCAACTGGAATCGAGCTCAAGGAGGAGCTCATCTCGGGGTGGTCTTTGGAAATGCCACATGGTTGGTTTGCGCTTGGTTTCCATTGTAACACCAACCAACCACTTGATTTTGAAAATTAATGGTTTCCTGAATGTGTAGGATTCTCTTGGAGGTATGCCGATCTTTCCCGCAGAAGGTGGCAAAAGCACAACCCTTACCAATTCTAGTTTGCCAAAGCAGCTGCCGTGTCGATGTACTTGTGCTTGGTGTAGAGGTGATCTCAGGCTGCCTTGTGACCCCAACTGTATTTGTCATGACTATATTATAGGGTGGCTGCGCATGTATTTCCCTGCCTGCTTGCCTGTCCGCTTGCTGGCTGGCTTGCTTGCTGGCTGGCTTGCTTGCTGGCTGGCTGGCTGGCTGGCTTGCTTGTTTTGCTTGCTTGCTTGCTTGCTTGCTTGCTTGCTTGCTTGCTTGCTTGCTTGCTTGCTTGCTTGCTTGCTTGCTTGCTTGCTTGCTTGCTTTGGTTGATTGTTTGTTTGTTTGTTTGTTATTGTCCGAGAAAGCTTGTACAAGTAAAGGGGCAAAGAGGCAAAACAAATTATTGTTGGAGACTCGTTGGGTGCAGATCCTGAAGCTTGAGTTGTTAGTTGAATTGAGGTTTCCTCATAAGACAAATGAGCCAAACGAGTCTCCCCTCGTGAAAGGAGGAAGATCTTACCGCACCAGCCACGGCCTCCGATTGCTGTTGTTCGTAATTTGAAGTTCCATTGCTGCGTTTCAGGCAGATGGCCTTTAATCCTTGGGCAGCCTCCACAGGCGGTGCCTACAAGGGGGCGCATGGTGGCTCCAAGCAATCCAGAAGGATCTCTTCATTTTGCGACACTCGCGGGAAGGCCATGATCTGGCTGGCTGTTTTCTGCTTTTGCAGGTCCGGCTCGACAAATCTCTGCCAGGCTCGCTCATTGATGCCGATGTGCAGCCGAATAATGCAACTCACACAGCTGTACTGTACATGCCGTATATGCCAAAGAGGGACTTCTGCCCGAAAACAAGCGGACATGCTTGTGCATGTGCAAGCACGCTCGAAGCCAAGATCTGGCAGGTGCAGCAGAACAATGCGTCCTTTGCCGCGAGGACGTAATACTGCACCCCTCCAACCATCAACTGACAGTGGAGATGCAAGAGTCAGAGAACCATGGACACGTGCCTGGGATAGGAGCAGCCATCTTATGTCAGCATCGGTAGATGCAGGCTGGGTAGTTTTGGCACTACTTCACTTCGCTCTTCACCACTGCGATTCCTAGGCACGCAGAGGTCTGCTGGGTTTGCACCCTTCGCCTGAGATTCCTCAACCAGGATGCCCTGATAGGAAGATGTTGGAAGCTTTGCTTGTACTTGAACGCTCGCAAGGACACGCGCTGCCCCCTCTGCAACGAGGAGCTGGGAGAGGTCTGCGGATCCTCAGATCTCCGGCTCTACTTTGTCATTCTCATGTTAGGTCCTGCTGACGACCGACAGAAATGCATCAATGGAGCCAATTGCACCTTGGCTTTAGAGTGTCAATCTAATGTTTTGCGACTTTCAGTTGTGGGAATCGAGGATTTACTTGGACTGAACCACGAGCATCCTTGGATTTACTTTGCAGATGAGACCATTCGTCCGGCCCTTGGGGCCGACGCGTGCTTGAGTACTGTAGCTGTTGCCGCATGCTTGCCACATGAACAACGAGTTGTTTTCAGGGTCAACCACTGTGGCAAAGGGAATAAAGCTGGATTCACTCACCAAGTTGCCATTTGCAACTGGTGGCTTATTGGCCAAGTTTCTATGTTAGGCAGGAGCACGATGAATATTCATGGTTCCTAACATAGGCAACCTTTTTGACCCTTTGGATACTGTTTAAGGGGAGATCATCCTATTTTTGGACACGCCAAGACCCCAAACCACGAGATTAGCTCATTTTTGGAAACATCCGTCTCTCACATCCTAGGCAGAGCGGTGTTGCAGCTGCTGGGCTATCGCTGTGAAATCGAGGGCTGCAGCCTAAGCTAGAATGCGTGCCTCAACATGAAGCTCCAGCCCCTTGTAAATAGCTTTGAGAAGCAGCTCACTGGGAACCAAAAGGCAATCTAGACTCCAAACGATTGCCTTTCCTCTTTTTGTTCCATTGCAATCCACTTTACTTTGACGCCTCATATCAGGCGCAAACGTGTTTGCACACGTGTTTGAGTGAAGTCCTTCTGAGGATGTGAGAAAAAGGACGTTGCATTCCGTTCTCTAAAAACTCTGGAGGACCGAGCAACGTGCAGTCAGGCAACTTCAGGCAGAGAGATTGTTGGTCAAACGTAGCGCGCGTGCACATGGAGGACCACCTGTGGCACACGCACTGGCGACAACTTTGCAAGGTTTGTCTTCATGACAGGCTGTGGGAGTGATCTAGCCCAGTTTCCAACTTGCACTGGAGTAGTCATTTGTCACGAGATGTAACGAGTTTGGAATTAGTAGTTGCCATTCTACCATTCCTGTTGCTCTTTTCGGTTCACGAACAGCATTTCGATGCGTTCTGGAGGCCTGCGTTCATCTGCGAACAGCGCGCCTGTGGCTGAGTCCAGCATTCGGTACCTAGCCACGACTTGATTGATATCAATTCTCGGCTTAGGTCTACGATTCAAGCGACATGGATCGACACAATCGTGAAGGTGATACCTCATGGCTGAATCTCAGCAGCAAGTTGTTGGAGGGTTCCAGTTTTTGCCAAAGCTAGACTCAAACTGATGGTTTTCTTGTCGTGAAAAATCAAGCATCAAATCAACCCCAGGCTTAAACCTAGGGCAGTTGAAGAAGAACCCTGTGGTATGATGAAGGCACTCCAGTCATTGTCGTGAGCCCAGGTCGAAGGAGCAAGATGCTATGCCGACAGCTGCTCGCTCAAATCAAATTGGCTTGCACAGATCAATTGCACATGGACATGTAAACTGGGGCACCCACTCGGAAGGATGGAGCGCAAAAGAGAGACCGAAAGGACACCTCACATCTTGATCCCACGGCAAAGGTACCACCTCATCCACGCTGCGAGTTTTGCAAGCAGAGGCATCCACCAGATGCAGCATGGCTCCATGTGATTGCCCGGGATGGCTTTGTCAGGTTCTTCAACGATGACAATTTGCTCATGCATATGAACTTAAGGCAGGACCTCAACCGAAGCACTTGACGGAGAGCGGAGCGCGCAAGGCACGTGCAATGCCAAATATGCGACACCTTGGGTTACAAGAACGAGTTCTTCTTGAACCCAAAGTGCCAGATGCCTACTGACTGGACAAACTACATGTCTCGCCCCATCATCCAGAGCCACTAGAGTCACTAGAGTTGCTTTGTTAAGCATTATCTAAAAAACATCATAAGAGTTTGCAGGGAGATATGGGAAGCAGCCATGCCGCCTTGCTGCGTAGTGTTTGCGTTTGAGGCTTGTCCCGCCACTGGGAGGAGAAACACCACGTGTGTGCTCACAAGGACTGCTTCGATTTGATTCCTTTCTGTTTGGATTGATTGTAGTTTGGGTTTTGCGGCCTCGGGCAATCACATCAAATTGGAGCGCCAGTGGTGAAGCGTGATGTGATTTTGGCAGAAGAGATCTTCATTCTGCAGTTGCTACGTAGCGGACAATCAGCCAGGACTGCGCAACAGACGGGTATCGCCAGACAGCCTTTGCTGAAGAGAAGGCAAGTGTATGGAAATTCTTGCAGCATCGAGCCAAGTCCATGCACGCATGAGCAGGCACTTATGGATCACTACGAGAGAGTTCACAAGCAGAAGTTTGCAGATGAAAAGGTCCGGAGCTCAGAAGGCCTCGGGGCAGCAAAACAGCACGAGCCACCTGTCTGCTTCCATTGCACTCAGGCCAGAGGGCGAGTGATGATGGGCTCCAATCAGGAGGCAGATTGAACCATTCGACGCTCTAATACCCTTTGTGGGAGTTGTCCATTGGACCTCGCTATGGGTATCCATTTGTTTTCGAACCCTGCGGGGCTTTGCCAGTGGACCAGGAAAGCCGGCGCAACGCTTCTCGGTCGCTCGTGCAGGACACGAGCGCAATCCGAAGGCGCAGAGGTGTGGCACTCAGAGCAAGGCCGCGACTGGCCCAGTTGAGAAAGCTTCATGCAACCGTAAACAATCTACAGAGCAAGGAGGAGAGGCGTGACAATGAATCATGTTCTTGTGATGTTTGTAGGTTGAGAGCAAACGTGCTTGCGCACTTAGCAAAGAAGCGGCCTGGATGTTGATTTGTTCACACACCAAACCGCTCTCTCGTTCGAATCTTTCTTGGTCTCCTGACAGAGGAGGTGGACATCATCAGTCTCGTCGCACAGATAGCGTAGAACAGGAAATGGTGTGTTATGCACGGCCGACTATGTTGCCAGGACTCTTACATTCAAAGTGTCGTGGGAAGGTCTTCCACAGGGTGCCATTGGCACATATTGGCACATATTGGCACATATTGGCACAAGGCCCGCATGGAAGCTCCGTTGAAACCAAGGCCGCGGAGCGGAGGACCTTGATCCCATCCAGTTCCGATGGCCGTGGCAACCTGAGATATCTGTTCGAATTCGCCGGTTGTTTCCTTTCCATTCCTTGCGTTTGTCATTGCCCGGTTTAGGACCACCGCCATTCCAGAGGACTACAACACAGATGCCACCGAGGCCTGTCTGTTGGAGAGATGAAACGAGCAACGGGAAACCAACAATTGACAGTGGGCCTTGTTTGGTCGTTCCCTGTCAGTTTCGGGGATGGTGTATTGCTGTAGGGCAGTGGGTAGTCCGCAATTCATTTATTGGGGCATTTAAATGGCAACACGAGTTCATGCAAGGAAGGTCCCTGGCATCAAAAGAGCCGGCAATCTTGAACAGTTGGCTGTGCTCTTCCGTCATGCCGTGCAGGAGGACTACAGATACAATCGCTTTCCAAACCGGCTGATCATCCCGCTTACGCGGGGCAGTGAGGGCAAAGGCGCAAGTGGCACGGATGCAGGGCACAAAGTTGAGCTCTCAGGCTGGCGGCCAAAAGAGAATGGAGAGGCGCAGAGAGCTGACCCAAGGGGTTGCCGGGGAAGCAACTCAGCGCTTTGCCTTCCAGGAAGGTGAGCCAGATGCGCCAGAAGCAGAAGGCTTGTTTTCGCTGGTGGAGGGGGCTGGAGCGTGGCATGGTTCCTGAGGCGAAGAGCAAGAAGAAGCAGACAAAGAGGCAAGGCTGTGTTCGCTGGCATTGCAAAAAACCAGCAGAATTTGTTCCGTTGTTGTTACTATCATCTCTGGAAACAACACAAAGAAGGGTTTGCTATACCTGATGCAAAGAAACAAAGTTGTGCCTGAGCCTGAGTCATCTGAGTCCATGCGGAAGCGCCGTGAGGAGTTTGATTTGCACCCTGAGCTGGAGAAGCTGGGCATTGACCGTGGGGGCCAGAGACGAGTCGGATCGCGACTCGAAAGCTTCCGGCTGAGGCGCTATTTCCACAGACGGGCCTCGTGCTGGAGCCTGGGCCCTCAGATCCAGCTTGCCCCAAATGACAAGATGTGTAGCATCCGAAAGGCACCCATTTGTTGCAACCCGTGAGAGCACTCAATCCGCGCTAGCGTTATGACCCTCAGAGATAGGCAATCACTGAAAATCAGCAAAAATATAAAAATACAGACGCGGAAACAAACAAAAAACAACACAAAAAAACAAAAAAAGAACAACTAAAAAACAAAAAACTGCAGCCAGAAACCCTTCAGGGGCAGACCAGGTATCCAAAATGTGCAAAAACACGGGGAAAAAAACAAAAATAACAAACAAAAAACAAATAAAAAACAAAATGCAGCCCGGGGCACTTCAGGGGCAGACCAAGCATGCAAAATGTGTAAAAACACGAGGAAAGAAACAAAAAAAGAGCAAAAAAAGAATAAACAAAGAACAAAAAGAGAACAAAAAAAGAACAAATAAACAACAAAATGCAGCCCGGGACACTTCAGGGGCAGACCAGGCATCCAAAATATGCAAAAACACGAGGAAAAAAAAAAAGAACAAAAAAAGAACAAAATGCAGCCCGGGACACTTCAGGGGCAGACCAGGCATCCAACATGTGCAAAAACACGAGGAAAAAAACAAAAAAAGAACAAACAAAAAAAAACAAAGAACAAAAAAAGAACAAATAAACAACAAAATGCAGCCCGGGACACTTCAGGGGCAGACCAGGCATCCAAAATGTGTAAAAACACGAGGAAAAAACAAAAAAAGAACAAAAAAAGAACAAAATGCAGCCAGGGACACTTCAGGGGCAGACCAGGCATCCAAAATGTGCAAAAACACGAGGAAAAAAACAAAAAAAGAACAAAAAAAGAACAAATAAAACACAAAATGCAGCCCGGGACACTTCAGGGGCAGACCAAGCATGCAAAATGTGTAAAAACACGAGGAGAAAAAAAAAGGGAAAAAAAAGAACAAAAAAAGAACAAATAAGCAACAAAAAAAGAACAAATAAACAACAAAATGCAGCCCGGGACACTTCAGGGGCAGACCAGGCATCCAAAATGTGCAAAAACACGAGGAAAAAAACAAAAAAAGAACAACAAAAGAACAAAAAAAACAAATAAACAACAAAATGCAGCCCGGGACACTTCAGGGGCAGACCAGGCATCCAAAATGTGCAAAAACACGAGGGAACAAAATGTGACACTTCAAAAACATGTGCGAAAAACAAAAAAAGAACAAAAAAAGAAAAAACAAAGAACAAAAAAAGAACAAATAAACAACAAAATGCAGCCCGGGACACTTCAGGGGCAGACCAGGCATCCAAAATGTGCAAAAACACGAGGAAAAAAACAAAAAAAGAACAAACAAAGAACAAAAAAGAACAAAATGCAGCCCGGGACACTTCAGGGGCAGACCAGGCATCCAAAATGTGCAAAAACACGAGGAAGAAAACAAAAAAAGAACAAAAAAAGAACAAACAAAGAACAAAAAAAGAACAAAAAAAGAACAAAATGCAGCCCGGGACACTTCAGGGGCAGACCAGGCATCCAAAATGTGCAAAAACACCAGGAAAAAAACAAGAAAGGAACAAACAAAAAGCAAAAAAAGAACAAAAAAAGAACAAATAAACAACAAAATGCCGCCCGTGACACTTCAGGGGCAGACCAGGCATCCCTGTTTCCCTTTTTCTGTGCATGCGTGTTGTTTGTTTTCTGTTTTTTTGTCTGATTGTTTTCTGTTTTTTTGTTTTGTTTTTTCCCCGGGGTGTTTTTTTTGTTTTGTTTTGTTTTTCAGTGTGTATTTTTGGTTTGTATTGTTTTTGTTTTTTGTTTGTTTTTTGTATCTTTTTTGTACTTCCCAGTTATTGCCTCAGTGAAAGTCTTAACGCTAGCGCTGAGAGGCTCCGAGTTGCCTGAGTGCCTTGCACTCCGCCTTGCGAGCGCTGGTCCCGGAAGATGAATCTCAAACAGAAGGCGCCTGCTTGAGTTTTTCGAAAAGGAATGGAGCCACAAAGGACTTTGAAGAATCCGCAGGCTGGGATGCAAAGCTGCTGCCAGCCGTTGGAAGACTGAAAGCAGCGGAGGCAAGAGGTTTCACGCCATCGAAGCTCGTAGATTCACGTTTGCCCGCCCAATGTGAAGGTTGAGAATCTGGAATGCATGCGAGTCCACCTCCATGATGAGGCAGGCTGCGCAGGTTGGCGGGCAAGGACACTGTTTCTTGCAGCACACATTTATTCTTCATAACACTGCAGTGCAGGGCTGGCTCTTTTGCGCTTTGGAGAACAATGGGCTTCGAAAAGAACGCTTTGACGGTTGCTGGCAGGCGTTGTTCATCCTGCGCAAAGGAGTTGTTCATGGAGAGTATGCGCAAGGGGCAAGCACATTTTCGGGGCTTTCAAGGTGAGCCTTCATCTTCTGCAATGGCCCCCACTCACTGAGAATACATAATCCCGACTAGAGGTGCGCTTGAATTCTTAGACATGCATCCTGCAAGATCTCAGACTCCTTGTTTTGTTTGAAGTGCCCAGTGGGATGTAAATACTTGCCAGGCATCAACGGATCCTGATCCAACCGGAACGCCAGGCAGACGAGAACAGCCTCGACTGGGAGCCGTTGGAGCGGCTCCTAGGCCAGCCCTGTGCCGCTAGTGTCGAAACTAGGGCACCCTGTACGTCAATTCCTGGGGGCACCTCGTCTTGACACATTCCAAAATGGCAGGCTCTCCCTTTTAGCGTCGTTTAGCCCCAAAAGCGCCACATCTTGGCACATGCCAAGTATGATACTGGCAAGGACTTGTGTATGAAGTCCAGAGGGAGCAGCCAAACAGGGTGTAACAACTGCTGGTCAAAATTGGGAACATGCTGTGAAGCTAGAGTCAAATTGAAAATGGAAAAGCTTTAAAGACTTGAGCATCTTGAGCTTAGCCTCCGATGACCAGTTAGCAATTTGAAGCTGGCAAGGAGTGTAAAGAGTGTGGGTTGCATTCCTTAAATTCTTAGGCTGCAAGGAAGGCATCCATTTGAAGCCAGAGCTGACATGAGGCATCCATTTCAAACCCAAGATGCCGATCCCCTAAATGGCCAACAAAGGCTCCCTAAATACAAAATATACAAAATCAGACCCATAGGTGGTTTGGTTGAAAAATGGGGGGCGATCCCTGGTTGGAACCAAGTCTGTTGCTCTGAGTCAGCCAGTGTTCAAGCGGCCGACACCTTGAGCACCGTCACGTGTTTCAAGCGGCCTTGGGCAAGTTTCGCTAGGCCTGCGGCCATTGCTCTTCCGCTTGCTGCGCGACAAGGGCAAGGTCCAAAGCCTGGAAGTTGGCGTCCATCCCATGTTTGTGGTTTGAAAGGGAAACCAAAACGAAAACTGCGAAAACACCCCTTTTGGAGGGCCCCCTAACCTTCCCTGACCTTTTCTTGAGTGTCAATCCTGCATCTTCATTTGAGCAAAAAACAGTGCGCACAACGGAAAAGTGCGCGTTTCAATCAAAAAACGCGCAAAGTTCCAAGAACTGCGCGAGGCGTTTTTGGCTGGTTTGAAAAAGGTGGGTGTGTATAGCCTGGACATGAACCTGTCAAGCTGTTCAAAAACAACTATATGCAAGGATACATGCGCCTAATCGGCCAGAACTTAGATGATCCAAAGAACCAGAGTGCATTTTGGCTATTTACCAACGGAGCGGTTGTCGGGAATAGCCTTCAACATTGCCAAGCCAGCTTGACAGTCAAGTGAAACAAGTTTCAACTCCTGATATTGCAAGAAATTCGAACGGCTCTTGCAAGTGGCGCAGCTTCAAGCGACGACCACATGTGGCTCAAAACCGATCTGTTGGTTGGCAATTCGGGCGCTTTAGACATCTGCTGCCTAATTAAAAGGTCAAAAACGCACGCATACATGCGCACACTTTTCGAATGTGCGCGCAATTGCGGATATTTGCGCGATAGTACCGGATTTTTGCGCGCAAATTGCGGGCTGGCAAGGCGCCGAAAATCGACTAATTTCACCTATCAGCGACTTGTCTCAACAAAAATGTGGCGCAAGCACAGTTCTGGAGCAAACAGCGGATCCGTGCAAACCCAAGCAATACTTGCGGGCTGGGAGCTCTTGACGGAGCCAAGCGGGTTGCCAAATCAATGGCCTCAAAGTGTCAAGTGCAAGTGATATATAGCTGGTACTTGTGCCGGGTGTGCCACAAATTTCCTGCCTAAAACAGGCTTGGGTGGAGACAAAGACGAGCTAGATATGCTGTAAACATCAAGGGCTTCAACAAACAGCTGCGCCGGCACGGGCACGAGCAGCGCGGTATCGGTTGTTTACACAAGCAGTGCCGAATTTGGCTACCAGAGGAGTTTCATCCGAAAAGTGCGCAAATCTCTCAAAAGTGCGCAAATTCCAAAAAGCGCGCAAAAAACACCACAAAACACGCAAACAAGCATTTGAGCAGAAAAAAGTGCGCAAACGCTAAAGGCTGGACGTGAGGTTGTGCATGGCCCTCCTTGTCTGATGGCCTAGGCAAAAGTGTCGTCCAGCCCCCAGCCCTCTGATTTGAACAGCAGCGTGGGACGCTACGATACAGACAGAAGGCATTCCCTACAGCGCTGCGAATTCACATTAGATTAATATGGAACCCAACAAATCCATCAAGGAGTCCTCTGCAAATTATGTACCCATTTCGTGTCCAGGGAAATAATCCCAAATTCCACCGATCCCAAGGTCGCAGAGTCGACGTGCCATCGGGCCCAGGCGCATCGCTGTACATGTGGGTGGATCAAGCTTTGGTAGAGGTTAGAAACGAATTAGAGGGTACAAATGCAGAACGTTCCAATCTCACTTCTGCACGGTGGCAAGAACGTGACATTTGCGTTGTCTCGGCCATGCATCCAAACGCGTATCCCAGTCACATATCGCTTGAATCCTAGCCCTGCGCCGTAAAATGACGGACACGTCTTGCGTGACCCTGGGTCATAACCTATGGCTCCATTTTGGGGCGGATGAACACCCATGTACCACCTATTCTGATGTTCACCAAGGGTACAGGGTTTTGACCCACAGCCATGTCTCCTTTTGATTGGTACCTCCTTTTTGGTGAGCGCAAAAGGTAAAGCACTAGCCGTTTTTGGGTTCCCATGGTTCCCCCATTCTGAGACATTCCCACAATCTGGGTCCCAACATTGAGCCATTCCAGTTCCTAACTGTCAAAGTTGTTGGCGCAGTCTCTGGGGAGTTCCAGGCTAGAAGACCAAACTGGTTGACCCATTTGGCCCAGTGGCAGCGATGCCTAAGCCACAACATGCACCAAAGGCAATGGCTGTCTGAGACATCCAAGTCGAATGAGACTGACCTTTGTGCCTCGCGCTAGGCAAGGAGGTACTACAGAAGAGCAGGACGAGCAGCATGGGTGTGGAGCGGAACAACTTGGCTGAAGGTGTTGCTTTGGTTGCTAGACTGACCCACTTTGGCAGAGCATACAGCATCAACACAGTGGCAGCGACGGTCAGGAGGAGGACAAAGCTTGGCGAGAGTGGAAGCAGAAGGCACAGGTGCGACTTTCCGTGCTGCCGGGCTTGGGCCAAGCGATCAGAGTAACTTTGGAGGCCCGCGAGCAACAGCTTAAGGTAGTTCTTAAGAAGATGCCCACTGAAGCGCTACAACCAACTGAGCCGTTGGGATGATGTCTTTTCCAGCAATCCGCAGTTTGAATTTACGAGTGAGATTCTGCTGAGGCCTGGCATTTGCATGTGTGTTGATCGGTTTGGATCATTAATTGATGCGCTCTCCGTACAGAAAATCAATGTACTGACTGCACACATCTTCCGGCACGTCTGTGAGGGTAGATGTCCAGCGGTTTTTGGGCTGTGCCATGAAGAGCTGGATTGACCAGGCTGTCATTGATGCTTTGGCTCCCAAAGCTCAACAGCGCGTACTTCGATATGCTGAGCACTATAAGTCAGCGAGAGTGTGAGAGACAAAGTTGCGACCAAGGTCGAGCTTTGTATGCAGCGACGCACAGCCCTTGACGAGCTTGGAGATGGCGTGCCTGACTGGGAGAATGAGGACATCGATGAGGCCAGTCCCTTTGCATGGAATCCTCGCTTGTTTGTGCCAGAAGTCCCTGCTGCAAGGTGTTCCCTGCCCTGAACCCCACCGTCGGCAATGCGGCTGGCGCCTTGAAGGGCAAAGGCGCTGTCACTCCCCGCTGTCCCCAGTCCCTGTTGTCTCCAGTAAGGCTCCAGAGGCACCGGCTGCTCAAGCGCGGGCTAGAGGCGGGGCCTCCGGACGATCTCAGAGATGCGATGGAAAATAATTCGACGTGAAGTGCGACGTGGCCAACCTGCGAGGTTGGGCTGATGTTGCATCTGGAACCAAGGAGGCTAGCAGTGAATCAAGCTGGGCATATCAAGCTGGGCAAGGTGTGCGCACTGAAGGTCTCGTTGGTGTTGAAACGTATTTGGTTGGGCCAAGGGGTGCGCATAGCTTTGCTGTGGCATTGAGCAAGCTGAATTCCCAACAGGCGTTGCTGGCTCCAGAGCAATTTCCTACGCTTGGAGGCGGCAATGTGCTCAGAAGCGTCAGCTATGCAATCTGCAGTATGAGTCAAACTCAAACATGATCCTCGTGGCCAATCCCTTTCCTGCTGGCATGTTATTTGACTTGTAAATATGTATGTGTGTGTGTGTGTTTTCCAAAAGTGTGGCGACAGGTTCTTCTAGTCAAATCCAGAGAGATTGCACAGAGAAGTATCATATTGGGAATGATGTTCTGGGGGGAGCCACCTCAAGAGTGGTTGGTGGACATGAATCCCCGACCTAAATGATGTCCACCAAAGGTCCCCAACAAAAAGTCACACCCGTATTGCGCTGAGAGATGCCACCGAGACACATCACCAAGAGGTCGCCGGAGAGATTGCGCAAAAGCTCCCAGGGATGGGGAAGAGAGCTTGCACAAAGGAACGTGACAGAGGTTGCACGGCGAGATTGCAAGAGGAATGTCAGTGAGTGACCCGAGAGATATCGCAGAGAGGTTGCTCAAGATTGCTCACAGAGATTGCTCACAGAGACGTCATAGAGAGATTGCTCCTGACTTTCTTGCCCCAGAAGACTCGCACAACTTCAGGGAAAACTATTAAGGCCACACGGCAGGCGCCCACTGCAACATGCAACTTTGCGTGGTCCCCGCCCAGCGCACTGCGTGTATCGCGCGGGTCACTGCGCCAAATCCCAATGAACATGATACTTGTCAATGTTTGTTTATGCCCCCGCACGGCCTTCTGCCTACATCACGCGTGTCAATGTACAGGGCGTTGCAGGACTTTTGTTTTTTCTTTTTTTCCGGGACTTTGGGTACTCCTAACCGGCTGTACAGCAATCTTTCACTGCATGGCAAGAATGCATCTCGGCGAAATGCTTGCAGGCCAGAATTTGTCGTCTAGTGTGTGTGCACCATATTGTGTATATTATACATGATATGTATATAGGTATATATGTATAGCTTGTTCAAACCTCATCCCCAATGACTAGCTGATTTCAGATCGCTTGGTTCCAGATTAATTATTCGAATTGCGGATTATGGGTTGCTTGACTTGCTCATGCTTCAACATACGGTTTTGATCCAAAATTTGCAGCGCGGATGACGGATTGAGAAGATGACCAACCAAAGCAAGGATTAAGCGGATTAGGAAGGACATATAGTATATATATATACACACATACCACATATTCCCGAAAACATCGCGAAGGGTTCTTCTGCGCGGAGCTCTCGGACCAACTTGCGTAGAGTCACTTGCGCAGAGTCAAACACACAGAGCCAAGTGCATAGAGCCGTGCATAGAGCCAAGTGCATAGAGCCAAGTGCATAGAGCCAAGAGCATAGAGCCAAGTGCAAATAGAGCCAAGCGCATAGAGCCGAGTGCACAGAGCCGAGTGCATAGAGCCGAGCTTCCTTGCGTAGGGCTTCGGCTTCCGGTCATCTCCATGGGTGCCCCGCCCCCAGCTGCGGCTCTTCTCGTCCATGTGGACTGCCGCGCATCTGAACCTGAGCACCTTCTCGATCTGCTCCGACCGGTGCTTACCACCCACGTTGTAGAAGACGTCCATGCGTACTCTCTTCGTGAGGGCCGCCTTGGAAAGCATCCTCTGGGCGAACGCCTTGTCGCTGATCTTGCTTTCGCCATCCTCCCTGAGGTACTCGGTCTTCAACCTCTTCAAACCAGCCAGGTAGGCTGCCATGTAGAGCCAAGTGCATAGAGCCAAGTGCATGGAGCCAAGTGCGTAGAGCCAAGCGCATAGAGCCAAGTGCACAGAGCCGAGTGCACAGAGCCGAGTGCATAGAGCCGAGTGCATAGAGCCAAGGGCGTAGAGCCAAGTGCATAGAGCCAAGTGCATAGCGCTTCGGCGTTAGCAGCTATGTAAGTTAAGTTTAGCTTTCTAGGGCGCCGGAACAGGACTTTGATCGTCGATCGGGTTTGCGACCCTCTGCGGGGATCGGCGGTCGAGGTGCAAAAACTGCAGGTTCTTTGCGATTTCTGATCTGCCCGCGCGACCCTCTGCGGGGATCGGCGTGGTCGAGGTGCAAAAGCTCGAGGTTTTTTGCGATTTCTGTCTGCCCGCGCAGCCCTCTGTGGGCATCGGCGTGGTCGAGGTGTAAAAACTCGATGTTTTTTGCGATTCTTGCGGCGCCCGCGCGGCCCTCTGCGGGGATCGGCGTGTTCGAGGTGCAAAAACTCGTTGTTTTTTTGCGTTTTTGCGGTGCGCGGATGAACCCTCTGCGGGGATCGTGCGTGTCAACGCGCGCTCGCTGTGGCGCCGTGCGTATTCGGTTTAGTCTCGTGGTTTGCGCGCCTGCTTTCGCAATCGCGCGGTCGCGGGTTCGATTCCTCCCTGACGCGAGCAGCTCCGGCTCAAGCAAAGAAGCCGTAGTATGTGGAGTGTACTCCTGGCGGACCGGAAAATCGCAACCCTGAAGCGCAGACGTATAGCGCGCGGAGCACCTCCACAGCTCAGCTCAGGCTGAGCATCTTGCGCACAGATACAAGTGCCAAGCGTCTTGCGGAGAGAAACTTGCACAACGTGCGCAGAACAGCTTGAAGACAGATGTCGAGCCACTTGCGTGCAGCAGCTTGCAGAGAGCAACTTGCGCGCAGCAGCCTGGAACGACGCAGCTTGCCCAGACACTGCCATGTTTCCTCTTGTAGGACGATGAGATGGAGCTCTCATGTGACCATACACATCGAGCATCGCCGCGCGCAGACACGCTCTCCGCATCGATGTAAAAGGTGTCTCCGCGGCTGGAAGAGAGCTGAGGGGAAAAATGCTTTCGGGCCAATCGTCCTCTAGTACTATATACACACCACATATATAAGTGTGTTTGCGTGTGTGCGCATGACAAGGTGCTGCCCCATCGGTTTTAAGCGGGGCCCTCAGCCGAGCTAGCTCCCGCGCGGCAACCTTAATGGGACCGTCTATCCCGACCAAGATCCGAGAGTCCGCGGAAATCTGGGGCAACTCCAAAGGGTCAGTGTTTTAAGGCTGTGTTGCTCGCTGCTTTGCTGTAATGGAAGGAGATATCACTGGGAAAATATCACCTTGAGGTGGAGAAATGCTAGGAATTGGTGGTTGGAGAGTTCCCTCATTCCGAAAGAACCAGCAATTTTTATCAAATTGCTAAACACGCCACATTGCGCTCAAACTTTAACATTCCCAAGCCATCGCCAGAAGCCGAGGCTGGGGACCGAACCGCAAGCCGCGCCCTGGCACGCATCCAGTCAAATTTAAGATATGTGTGGTGCGATAAAGATGTTTCCAAAACCGAGAAATGAACCCTTGTTGTTTATTTCGATGGAAACCCACTCATTTTGAGGGCCCCCCCAGCTTTGGGTGCCCACAATATGGAACAAGGCCACATTGTGGCCCTTGTCCGAATTCTTCGTTTGCATGTACCTTGAAAATCCGATATGAAAGGTTCCCCAGGCCCATCTGGTTCTCCCGGTTGGCCAAGAGGATTGCAAAGAAGTTGCATTTTGGAATTGTCCACTTGATTATTGCAGGGCTGCATGTGTATTCCTGGAGGGGCGGGGCAGTTCTGTAATTGCACTCCTTGGAACCATGAAAGGCAGTACTATGGCAGAAGCATTGGCATTACTCTAGCCTCTATGTCATGACTTGGATTTTTTGTCGGAGTGCACGTGTTTCACCAGACGACTCAGCTGTATAGTGAATTGGAAATGCACTGCCAGCGTCCTTATTCGTCCTTGCTCCAGGTCAGAAGGCGCCAGCCGGCCAGGCACGGACGTTGTGAATGTGCCTGCTGAAACACCCTCTGAAACAAAAGAGAGTGCCCATTTTTGGGCAGAACGATGTCCGCCCTGGATCCTGGCAGCTTCAATCGGATTTGGCTGAAGGTGCTGCACCTGCGGCATGAGCCTCAGAAACAATGACCATTGATACATGGCAGAGTCGGTTGTGTCAGGCTAAGTCCAAGGGAGGCATTGATCCAGAGGCGCGGAACTCAATAGCCACCTCGTAGAATCAACAGACATTGAGTCGTTTTGGGCGTTCCAGTACATTTTGACATTGACTTTGTGTTAGGCATTTCCAAGCCTGGGCGGGGCCCCCGCATCTGCCGGCAGCCCAGCGATTCTCTCATTGAACTGTCAGACTTGACTTACCTGTGCTTAAACACAGAGACCCCCTTGATGGATGCTGCGAAGCTGCTAAGGGACAACTATCGGAGATTGAAATCTTGATGATGAGGGGAACCCTCTTAGGATAGTTACTCACAAAGGGAACGTTCCATCCACATGGGTCGAATAGACTCTTCCCGAAGGTATCGGAGAACACAAGTTGGGGGCCCTCGACGTCTCAGTCTCAGTCGCGTCTCAGCGGCACCGCGCATGCAGTAGCAGTCCGCGCAGGGCCAAAGAATCCAAAGAGAGCCCAGGCCTGAGAGCTCAAACGGGGCCAACAGCAGCAGAGTCTGGGGAGTTGCTGGCACATGTTGACTGAGCAATATAGGGTTGGTTAGGCTTGCTTTAAAGGTTGGTTTAGCGTGGGCAAAGGCTTAGTTGAAGGTTGGTTTGGAATTGGTTTACGGTTGGTTTGGAATTGGTCTAGGGCTTGTCTAGGGTGGTGTAGGGTTGGTTTGGGTTGTTTTAGAGCTGGCTTAGGGTTGGTTTAGGAAGGGTTTAGGGTTCGTTTAGGGTTGGGGTAGGGTTGGTTTTTGGTCGGATTAGGGTGGGGTTAGGCTTGCTTTAGGGTTGGCTTAGGGCGGTTTGGAATTGGGTTTACGCTTGCTTGCTTGCTTGCGTGCGTGCGTGCTTGCTTGCTTGCTTCCTTCCTTGCTTGCTTGCTTGCTTGCTTGCTTGTTCCCCTGCTTGCTTAAACTATCTTAAACCGACCCTATGCCAACCCGAAACCGCCCTAAAACAACCCCAATCCGAAACCAACCCTAACCCTAAATCAGCCCGAAACCAACCTTAAACCAACTCTATACCCCCAAGCCAACAGGAAGCCAACACACCCCGAACCAACTCTCAACCAACCCCAAACCAACCCCAATCCAACCCCAAACCAGCCTGAAGTGATCCCTAAACCAACTCTGAAACGACCCTTAACCACCCTGAAGCAGCCCTAGATCAAAATTACAGCCACCCCAAGCCAACCCACTAAACCAAGGCTAAACCACCCTAAGCCAGCCCTACACCAATCCTCAACAAACCTAAACCAGTCGTAAACAAATTCCAACACACCCTAAACCAACCCTAAATTTACTAAACCAACCTAGATGAAGACAAAAACCCCCCTAAACCACCCGAAAGCAAGCGCAGACTAAAACTACGGTGTACAAAACGAGCCGTTGGGTAGAAAGCAAATTCTCGACGAGAGGTGCCACCAGGGGCGGTCGTTTCATGTGGATCGCGATTTCTCCTGTGGAGCGCGTTCTCTCACGGAAGGCGTCAGGGAGACGACGCTGGAAGACTGGGTCAAGCCATGGCCTCAGCGAAAGCTCCGGGCGGACCAACCCGCGCCGCAGTCGGCAAGGACCAAGCCGAAGGCTGCCCAGCCCAAGGACGGAGAGTCGGTCTGCGAGTCAGGGCTTGACCTTGCAAAGCACTGAATGAAAATAGATGCCCCCCCTTGCCGCCAAACGCTCTGCGGCTCCCTTGATTGAAGGCATAGTTTGCTCCATCAAGCCGGCAGCCAAAAAAGGGAAGTGCGGTAGATCAGCAAACTGCAATGGAGCGAAGTTGCATATTAGTAATGTAGAAGCACATGATAGACCCAGTTTGGCAGCGTCCAAAATCCTTTGAGACCCTCTTCTGATAGCATGCTTCCGCATAGGAAACATGTGGGCCTCGTAAGCTGGTGCAATTATCTCCGCGGAAGCTGCGAGTTTTTCTGACACATTCATGTCGGGACTGCTGTGCAATGCCCTTTACTTCCTGATGGGACAATGCAGTAAGTCAAACCATGCAATCATGGGAATGGACATAATTGTTTTGGGGGGCTTGGCCAGGAGTTTGACGCCGCCGGTGCTGATCCAGAGGCATTTCCTTCACTGGTTGCGCACTTGGCAGCTTCACCGACCGTGCCCTTTGCCGCTGGGCTTTGCCTTGGTTTGCTCAGGGTGGCAGTTCGAAGGCGGCGCCGGCTTGGGACTCTATCCGCTCTGCGGTCTCTCGCAATCTCACCAGTTTGGCGTGGTAGTGAGGTTCCTCAGTGGGGAGCCCGGAATCCTACCGCCATGGCCCCTGAGCAGCCAATGGTAGTTTTCTTCATATAATATAGTTTATCAGCTGTGAGGTTGGCCGTTCCACGGCAGCAGCCAGAATAAAGGAGTTGAAGGAGGCAAAGATGGAAGCTGCTGCCAAAGAGGCGACACGGGAGCCCGCTGGTGAGTCTTCAACACGCGGGCTGAAAAAATACCCCGCGCCTTTTCGTTATGTAAGGGGTCGTCCCTTAACTTGTTTCGCAGGCCAAAACCATTGCAAACCGATACAGAGGAAGAAAAACCGATACCCCCAGAAGCCATGAAGACACACATCAGGTCCAAGTTGTCGTCGCAAGCCAAGATCGCGGAATCATAAATTTGCAGGGCCCAAACCGATACCCAAACCGATACCCAACCGATACCCAACTCAGTGGCCGCCACGCCGAATCCAACCAGCTGCCCCGCAGCCTTCCCTGGAGCTGCCAAAATGCACTTTGCGTACCACATTTGTACTGAAAAACTTACTTGCACTGAAAAGCTGCGATTTTCGAGCCGGAGCTGCCAAAGTCTACTGCGCGCGATTTCCAGCTGCCAAAATGTACTTTGCGTACTACACTTGCACTGAAAAGTTGCAACTTTCCAGCTGGAGCTGGGAGCTGGCAGAGTGTACTTCGCATACTACACTTGTACGTAAAAGTCACGACTTTCGAGCTAGAGCTGCCAAAACACTGCGAACCGATGCAGAGGAACAAAAGATACTGACCGATACTAGGGCGTAAGGATACAAGGGTTGTCCACGGGGTTGTTTTTTCTGTCAGGCAGCCGAAGCGATTGCAGTGACCTCAGTGCACCCAATCTGTATCATTCCGGATCTATTTTGGCTCTCTGGAAGAGCAAGGGAGGTCTGTCTGTCGAACGGTGAGGCCCAGTCTTCGAAGTCCAATGAGCCGCCTGAGAAGGCGGGCAGGGGGTGTGAAGACACGGGACAGTGGATTGCATGGTGACCCTCAGGTTGAGGACATCGTTGGCTGCCCAGTAAAGGTGCTAATGATCCTGCACCGATGGCTTGCAAGGGCCTCAGAGAAGCACAAAGTCTGAGGCGAAGGATGCTGACAGCTTTCCGGAGGCAGCGCTTTTGTGTCATTACTGTAGCATCAATGGCCCGCGGCACACAGACACACACTCGCACATGCAAGCAAACACACTTTTACTAACACTTTCACGCCACACATGAAATCTTTCCGAAGCATTGATAATTTCTTAATGCAATGTGGCAGAAGGCGTAGTTTCTTCGCACCGCGCCGGCTGGTTCAAGCTACTTAGACCCTCTTTGTGACGGCTTGTGTATGTTGTTTGTCAATCTAGCATAGATTCGATTCGAGATCTCGGCCGCTTGGCCCGCAGCGTCAGTGCGGGCATGGGCATTCCGCAAATGGTTAGATGCAGCCACTGGATTCATCGAATCCCGGGTCCGAGGTGAAGACATGGCGCGTCCTCAGCACTCCAACAGACTGCAGCTGCAGGCTAGTGATGAGCTGAATGCATTTCCGCCACCATTTTTCGAACATGGGGAGGGGAGGGGCAAGCTTAGCATGAAGCAGATGGCGAAGCCGGGCCGAAGCGTGAGGCCTTTCTGCTCCTCTTTCTGCTTGCTGGCCATGAGGCCAAGCTAGCCTCTTTTGCCACTAAACATCGCAACCCCCAGGTCCAGGTGGCTTCATTCGGTCTCTGCAAACAGCCCTGCCTTTGTTGAAGCCCAGATTCTTCGGCACTTTCACCTTGCAGCGGCCTTCGCTTGAGACTGGACTCTGTTGTGTCATTCCAGGGTGCCAGAATGAGAACGAACAGGGTCAGTATGAATCAACTGCATACTGCAAAAGCTGTCA